ATAGGGACATTAAAGAATCCTGAAACAGGAGAGCCAATCCTCACTCATATCGAGATGAATGCCGATGCAAAACCAGTCATACAACCCCCAAGACCTGTGCCACACCATCTCGAAGAAAGAACCAGGAAGAAATTGGATTACTTTGTTCAAGAAGGGATAATGACTTGGACTAAACCAGGAGAACCGATTTCATATGCCAGTCCACTTGTCATCACACCTAAAGGAGATGATGATGTTCGCATCACTGCAGACTTCCGAGTGGCAAACAAAGGAGCATCGAGAACCCGCATCGTACCTGGTCTACGAGTAGACGAATTGTCGGCAACGTTTGGAGACTGCAAAGTGTTTTCACATCTTGATATGAACAATGGTTACCACCAAAAAAAAGTTGACGAGGATTCCAAGAAATATCTAGTAGTGACCACGCCCTGTGGAAATTTGGAGCATGAAACGCTTGCACAGGGATGGATAACCAGCCAAGATGAATTTGATAGACGAATAAATGAGATCCTAGCGGGAATTCCTTACGTAAAGAGTAATCGAGACGTCTGTCTAATTGGTGGGAAAGATCGAAACGAGCACAACCGAACACTCGACCTAGTCCTAACACGTCTGTAAGACCATGGATTAACATTAAGATTGGAGAAGTGTGAATTTGGAAAGGAGGAAGTCGAGTTCTATGGTGTCAGATTTACGGGAGAAGGAATCAAACCATCGAAGGCGAAAGTGAAAGCGTTGCAAGAATGTGGAGAGCCCAGTTCAAAAGAAGGAGTAAGAAGCTTTCTGCAGATGGTGGGATATATGTATCGATTTATCACCAGCTTTGCTCAGATTGCCGCACCGCTGCGACAGTTAACGAAGTCAACCTCAACCTTCCATTGGGGACCTATAGAACAGGAAGCTTTCGATAGCTTGAAGAGCAGTTTGACGGAGCAAACAACCCTTTCCTACTTTGTTCCCGAAAGACCGATAAGAATTTACGTAGATAGTTTCTTTCCCGCGAAAGAAAACAGAGAAATCGAGCAACGTTCCTGGAGGACTATGCGCTATTTTATGCCAGAAAGGTGACGACGGACAGTGAAAAATGTGTCACGTAGCCAACCGTGCCCTGACTGACGTTGAGACAAGATACGGACAGACTGAGTTAGAAGCAGCTGCGATCAAGTTTGCTTGTGCTGACGCCCTTTATAAGTACTTGGTTGGAGCGCCAAAGTTTGAAATCTTCACGGATTGCAAGCCGCTTGTACATCTCTTCAACAATCCAACCTCAAGAGCACCACTGCGTATCGAGCGACAAATTCTCGCCATTCAAGGTTTAGACTATGTGGTCAAGTGTCAGGAAAGAGCTGAGAACATCGCGGATTATGGATCAAGACACCTGACGAGGAGATATGATGATGTTCCCATGGTGAAGTCCGTGAACGAGTTACGAACTTTTGTCTCTGAAGACAACGAGTACCTTTCCAGAATGGCAAAAGACGACAATGATTACCAATTCTTAAAAGAAGTAATTCAAAGAAACCTCTGGAAGAAACACGGAAAAGATCCAAGAGTTTCAAGATTCCTCGGAGTAGCGTCCGACTTATCTGTTGTTGGAGAAATCATCCTGTGTAAGGACAAAGTAATTCCGCCTTTGAGCAGTCGAAGAAGATTTGTCGAGAAAGCGCACAAGATTGGGCATTCGGGAGAGACCCGCACGCTGAAACTTCTTCAAGAAAAGATTTGGTTTCCTGGAATTGCTAAACTCTGTAAAGAAGCTGTACAGAATTGTCAAAGCTGTCAAGTCACTCATGATCGCACCTATGACGAGCCTCTTCAATCAACACCATTGCCACCAGGTCCTTGGCATACAATCTCTGTGGATTTCAAGGGACCGTTCAAAGATGGAACTTACGCCCTGGTCGGATATGATCTTTACAGCCGTTATCCTGTTGTAAGCTACTGCAGATCTACAGCGTTCTCGTGTGTAAAACCGATCCTTGATTCGTGGTTTTCAACATTTGGTACAGTGAAGGAGCTGAAATCAGATCGAGGACCTCCATTTAACGGACATGAATTCAGTGCATATGCTCGCGAGAGAGGATTCGTTCACAAACCGGTGAAACCCAGGCATCCGAGAGGAAACGGTGAAGCTGAGAAATTCATGCAGAACGTGAAGAAGATGGAGAGAATTGCGAAACAAGAAAAGAAGAAATATCGCTGTCTCATTGAAGGAATGTTAAATGCTTACCGTCCACACCGCATCCTGCTACAGGGAAAAGTCCATTCGAGCTCACGTTTGGGAGAAAAATGCGACTTGGAGTATTGCCAGAGATCTCAGAAACACCCGAACGTGATAATTACCCTGAAGTTAGACAAAATGATGCCTTGTATAAGTTGAAGTCGAAAAGATACCACGACAAGCGCAGAAATGTGAGAAAGTCCAGAATTGCTGTTGGAGACAAGATTCTCATGAAAAACAAACGGACAGATCCACTTAGCCCGATTCCTGGTAAAGTTATCAATATACGTGAAAACGCCGTGACAGCCCGATTTGATGACGGGAAAGTTTTTATGCGAGACAAGTCACATTTCAAGATTGTACGAGAGAGATCTTACGTCGAAGAACGAGAAAGAGTACGAGAAGAAGAAACGTTTCGAGACAACATACTCAACCTCATACTCAATATTCATACTCATACTCAATATTCATCAATACGTCCTCGCGCGTTAGCATGCGCACGCACGCTGGGCGCTCCGCAAAAGTTTGCATTTTTTTCCATCAAGAACACAAGATTTCAGTAACATTTGTTGGAATGTGGTGAATAAAAGTATAGTCTACGAGTATTTGAGGTTTGCAAACGGTTTTAAATACTTCTTCTTATTAATAAGTTCATATATCATCGTGGTTTTTGTGTCTTTCAATTGCTGTTTACAAGAAATATCGTTGACAATCGCCAGCGCGGACGTGATTGTATGCTGACGTAATTTGATCACCTATAACGAGTTTTCGTGCGGTCAAGACAGTCAATTAGAATCAATTAATCCAATCATACACGAACAAATTGTCACTACAATGAATTATAATACCAATCGAATCTTGTTCAATTCAATGGCTAAATGGTTTTTGATTCTGGCAGTAAGTTTTTGGTTATTAAAAAGATCTAAAACTGCACTACCTCACCGCAACAACACTTCAATGCCTGGGAATATCGTCATTTCATCGAAACTAACATCAATACCGGACAGATTGAGCTACATTTGGACATCTACACGTGATGTCGTATTAAGAAAATGTGCAATGTCTTCTAAATATCGTTATGGCTTGGAGTTTAAAATAAAGAAGAATAATCTACACTTATTCCTGCTAATATTATTATCTGGAGACGTTGCCACAAATCCAGGACCTGGAACTTCGACTGAACACACTAGTAATGAACTCAATGCCATTTATCTGAACGCGCGAAGTCTTAAAGCTTTTGTGCCATTTAATGATGATTCTTCTGCTAAAGTCTGCAAGATCACTTTGTTAAAGGAACTAGTTCATAGTGGGTCCTATGACATCATCTGCATTTGCGAAACTTGGCTCAATGACTCAATTATAAGCAGCGAGCTGCTGCCTGGATATAGTGTCTTTCGCCGAGATAGAGTTGAAAAGGTTGGGGGCGGAGTGCTTGTTGCCGTGAAAGTCAATCTGCATGCGACTAGACGGCCAGATCTCGAAAGAAATGAAATCGAACTAGTTGTAGTGGAACTTAATAACACGAACAGTAAACCTGTAATCCTGTATACGTTTTATCGTCCTCCTGTTTCAGGCCCCGAAGTTTTCCATCACCTTAGTTCATCACTTCAGAATACAAGCGAATCTAGCTGTATTGTTTTGGTAGGAGACTTCAATCTTCCCGCACTTGACTGGACTACATTCGATGAACAAATCCCTACTACGGCCGGAGGTCAACTGGAAAACAGTTTCTGCGATCTGTTTGATGATAATTTCCTACAGCAATTCATTCTTGGTCCTACCCACAACTGTGGCAATAAACTTGACCTTCTAAGTAACTGTCCTGAAATTATTACGAATGTCGAAACATCTACTCCCGAACAGTGCAAATTTCCAACCGATCATTATATCGTCGAATTTCAGATCAAACTTAAATTTAAGCGAGCTAGGAATGTCAAACGTCGAATTTACAACTACAAAATGGCAAACTTTGAAGGTTTGCGTAGCTGCTTGTCCAATGTACCGTTTGAGAACGCTTTCTCGGATGATATTGTCCAATACTGGTCGAATTGGAAAGACTTATTCTTGACGGCTGTGAATAAATTCGTCCCTGTTAAAACCATTAAAGACATAAATTCCCCCCAATGGATTGACGGCGAAGTTCGTCAGCTTGTCCGTAAGAAATACGCTGCACTCAAGAAATTCCGCCAGAATAGATCCATCATCCGTAAGCAAAAGTTGCGTTGTATAAGTCAAAACATCAAGAGTTTGATCAGAAAAAAACATCGCGAATATCTAGAAAGAGTCGAATGTTCGTTCAACAAAAACCCGAAGTTTTTCTGGAGCTACCATCAAGCTATTCTACACCATAAGGAACAACACAACGCGGTTGTTACTTACAAAGATATTACAGCCAAAACTCCAGCAGAGAAAGCTGAACTTTTTAATTCATACTTCTCATCTGTGTTTGTACCATCAAAATCCACCACTGACACTGACAATAACTTAGACTCTTTTGATCCCGATACCCAAATATCTGATATAACCTTAACAACGGAAGAAGTTGCTGCGTGTCTGTATAATCTGGACATCTCTAAGGCAAGCGGCCCAGATGGCATTCCAGCAAGAATTCTAAAGGAATGTAGCCACCAAATCGCACCTAGCATTTGTGACCTATTCAATCATTCGCTACGCACTGGGCGCCTTCCCTCCCAATGGAAATCAGCTGATGTTACACCCATTCACAAGAAAGACCTTAAAGAACCCGTTGAAAATTACAGACCGATTTCCCTCCTGCCTATCATCAGCAAAGTTTTGGAACGTTTTGTTTCCAGGAGATTCTATGATCACGTCATTCACCTCATCACACCATCACAACACGGTTTTCTTAGAAATCGTTCGTGTATCACTCAGCTTGTCCAAGTTCTTCACTCTGTTGGTCAGTATCTTGACAAAAACCTTCAGTCTGATATAATTTACCTTGATTTTGCCAAAGCTTTTGATTCTGTAGATCATCAAATACTTCTAAGAAAACTCAAGTCATATGGCGTTACAGGGCGTCTTCTCGACTGGTTTCGCGATTATTTAAGCGGACGTACCCAAAGAGTTTTTGTCGAAGGTGTCCCATCAAGCTGGGTTCCTGTTATCTCTGGCGTGCCACAAGGAAGTATCCTGGGTCCGATACTTTTTGCTGTCTTCATAAACGATCTTCCGGAAGTAATATCCAATGGCTCTTCGGAAGCTATGTATGCTGATGATACAAAATTGTTTAGAAACATCAACTCTACAACTGACGGTGATTGTCTACAAGAATCTTTATCCAACCTCGACACGTGGAGCCATGATAATAACATCAAGTTCAACGCATTAAAATGTAAGGTTTTGAGCGTGACTCGAAAGAAATATCCCGTGACTTACAACTATCATCTGGGTTCATCTTCGTTGCTTCGTGTCCGGAAAGAAAAAGATCTCGGCATCATCGTGACAGACAATCTCTTGTGGAACTCGCATATTCAAATGATAACAGCTAAAGCTAACAAGATGCTTGGTCTCCTAAAGAGAACTTGTCCTTTATTGACGGAAACCAAAATCCGGCGTTCATTATACCTATCGCTTGTTAAGTCGAAGTTATGCTATGGTACTGAAATTTGGTCTCCATCCAATGTCTCCCTCAAAGTCAAGATCGAAAGAATACAACGACGAGCGACAAGATGGATCCTAAGATCAAGAATAGGTGAGATATCATACCAGGAGAGACTTCAGACTTTGGACATGCTGCCGCTGTGTTATGACAGAGAAATCCAAGACTTGGTCTTCTTCTATAAGGCACTATACGGTTACGTAGACTTAGACATAGGCAATTATGTTAGTTTTGTTAGTCATGATCGTTCTCGACTAACCTTAAATCCTAATCTATTACTTCAAGTGCCGTTATGTAGAACAACTACGTTTAAAAACTCTTACTTTAATCGAACAGTTCATTTATGGAATGTAGTGTGCAGAACTGCATCACCTAATAGCTTCGTGACATTATTTACTTTTAAGAACTTTCTTCGTCGGACTTATTCGTTTTTACGTAATTCAGTTTTTGACGTAGACATGCCATGTACCTGGTCTCTTGTTCGAGACTGTCCATGTCACAGAAACTAAATTAAGGGCCTGTTCATATGATCCCGCTTACCGGGACGTCTCGCTTACTGATGATCTCGCCGCCTATCTATTTTCCTATAAAATTTTGCATTGTGTTCATATGGGAAAGCGAGCTGGCCCGCTTGCCGAGATCTCATTTGAATTTGCCGAGATCATAGGTAGGCGGGATGAAAATTTTTCCATATGAACACGCCAGCCCGCTTACCGGGATGAAGTGAAACAAGTCTTGCCGGTTTAATTTAACACTTTTTACTTGGTTTTATGTTTGTTTTGTAAACAAGTATTAAATAACCACCTGAAGCAATACTTTTTCTTGTAAATAAACGAAGAAAAACACTAAAATCGCCAAGTATTTGTGTTGCTTGACTGAAATGTAGAAGTTTTGCATACGCTAATTATAGAACTACAATGTAATTTCATCTCGGCAAGTGGGACGAAATACTCCATATGAACGCACGGAAATATTCGTCTCGGTAAGCGAGACGTCCCGGTGAGCGGGATCATATGAACAGGCCCTAAATAATGTATAGTTCTTTGATTAAGTAAAGTTCGTTTCGTGTACATGCCTAAGTCACACGTTTTCAAAACCAAGTTAGTTTTATTTTCCGTACAAATTTTCCAAAATCTTCATGCATTTTACGTATTTCGAGATCCTGTGGGTATGCGCAAATCGAGCTTTACCTCAACTATAATTTATAGTGTAATGTAATTTTTTATGTAAAGTTTGTAAGGGAGGTGCCTCGCATGGGCTTTTTCTGACCCGTTTGCACCTTTCCTTTTGGGAAACACCTATTTATCGTTATTGTTAGTATTCCCAATAAAGTTATAAAAGTAAACCAGAGCAGAATCGATCAGAGTACGCGAGACGTCCTGCCAGACCAGATTAATCGTGACGAAGCAGATCAATTGATGAATTCACACAAGAGCAGCACTAACGATCGGAAACAGCCGATTTACGTGACGCGCCGAGGTCGCGAGGTTTATCCGCCGGATCGATTCCAAAGTTGAGGAAAAATGGAATGTTGTGAGAATATTATGAACGTTTTATAATATTAAGAACTCATTAAGAACTCATTAAGAACTCATTAAGAACTCATTAAGAACTCATTAAGAACTCATTCAGTTGGAACTTACTAAGTTATGTAGCTGATTATGCATCGTATTATTAGTTAGATTATCTAGTACATTGTTATGTTAATAAAGTAAAAAAACCATAAAAATAGAACGTTATTTCAGACTTATGTATAATAATACTGTGTATGTAGTCGGTAAAGTACGTGTCAAAAATACAATTTAGTGAAACCGATATTTGAGTTTATAACAATTTTCAAACTTGTTATCTTCATTACTTTTAAAAATTGGCGTTATTAATGCGACTTTTAAATTGTCTGGAATAATACCAGACAAGAATGATAAGTTAAAAATATGTGTTAAAGGCTTAGAAATTTCCTTGGTAATTATTTTTATAATTTTAGCATTAATGCCATCATATCCAGAACTTTTATTCGACTTTATATTTTCAAGTTCAATTTCAAGTTCATTTTCTGTGATACCATTAAGGAAGAGACTAGACTGATAACTACCATTTAGATATTTCTCAAAGGTATCATTATCATTACATTTTATTTTTTTTGCTAGGTTAGGACCAATGTTAATGAAGAAGTCATTGAATTTGTTTGCTATTTCTTCCGGGTCTTCTATAATATTTGATGAATTACTTTCCACAAAAGTTTTTGTTAGTTTATTATTTTTAGTTGCTTTATTAAGTAGTTCATTCAATGTTTTCCACATCATTTTTGAATTTTGCTTATGCTTAATTAACTGTTCTTCGTATAGATTTTCTTAGCTATTTTTATAATATGGTTTAGTTTATTTTTATATTTTATATATTTTTGCCTGTTTCTATCACTTGGGTTTATAAGGAAGGTTTTGTATAATTTATTTTTATTTCTAACAGATTTTAATATGCACCTAGACATTCACGGGCTTTTAATCTTATTTATTTTTGATTTGTTTTGTTTTCTTTTAAGTGGAAACTGTGCGTCATATACATCCATAAATAATCTCAGAAACTCATTAAATGCTTTTTCAGGGTCATTTGTTTCATTTAATACCTCCTTCCAAGAAAGATTTTTAACTGCATTTTTGAATGCGCTGATATTAGTTTCACTATATACTCTTTGATAGGTTACTGTAGCTTCATTTGCGTTTCTGTTTTTACTAAAAATGTTTGTGTTAATTAAACACATGCACAATTAGTGGTAAGTGGTCTGAAATATCGCTAAAAACAATACCATTTATACCATCATTAAGTTTTTCTAAATTATTGGTGAAAATCTTATCAATTAGTGTTTCAGTGTGATCAGTAATTCGTGTTGCTTTAGTTATTAATGGGAAAAATGACGAAGTGAATAATTGTTCGATAAAGCGGCTCGTATAATCACAAGACTCTGATTTGAAAAGATCAATGTTAAAATCTCCCATTAAATAACACAGTTAATTTTCTCTGTCAATTTTTTCTAAGATTGTGTTCATAATGCTTTCAAATGTCGCAAAATTTCTATTTGGTGGTCCATAAATAACCCCAATTATAAGATTTTTACCATGATTATTTAATATTTCAATAAATTTGGTTTCAATTATATCTTCAATATTTTTAGTTAAGTCATTCCGAATTTTATACTCCAGCTGTTTTGAAACATAAAGCCCTACACCTCCGCCTCTTTTTTCAGGTCTATTAGAACCAAAATACTCATAATTATTCATAGCAAAGCAATCCATGTTATTGTCGTTCAACCATGTCTCAGTGAGTGCTATCATCGGAAAAGGTATATGTAAAGAGTCATATTAAGCATGATTGCCCCAGTAAACTTCTACAAGACGCTGGTACTGATTGGGGTCGTACATATTACAACAAAATGTATTACGACGGATAAATGTTGAATCTGACACATCCATGCTAAAGTCGTTAAACATTTATTATGAACATTACTATGAATGACACTATAATAACACTATAAAGCCATGGGTGCGATAATAGGGAATTGTTCATAAAATAGGGTGCCCAAAATCCGGACCCTTCTAAATTAATTATGTATTCATTGCAATGATCAATTAATTGCTGCCGCAGCGAGCGAGCCTGAAGCGAGCGAGCAAGGCAGCAGATCCTAATTTTGTTTTGTAGGTCGAAATCAAAATTTTCTATTTTGCGCATTGCATGACGGTACCAGTGAATTTTAACCGTGGTGCAGCGCGGTCAGGCATACGGCAAACAGGCGATGTGATCATCTTTCATCTTTGGTCTTCTTTTATGGAAAGCCATAGCTGGCTTAGAGTGATCAAACGGCATTTTGTTGGGTGCTTTTAGCATTATACGGCGGTGCTTTCGGCATTATACACTCGGTGCTTTCGCCATTATACGCGGTGGTTCCAGTATTATACGCGGTGCTTTCACCATTTATATACGCGGTGCTTTTGCAATTATACGCAGTGGTTCGAGCACTATATGCGGTGCTTTTAATATTATACGCGATGCTAGCTTTCATTCAACATTATTTCCATATTCCTTCCATGACATGTATATGATTTAACGCCAATAGAAATTCCGGGAAAAAAATTTTCGGGACTTGTCGGGCAAAATCCGGAAAAATCAGGCAAATTTCTTTCCGCCCCCTCAATTTTTCCTTCCGGTACGCCCATGGCGGCTGAAATACGATATTAAAATCTTAAATGTGCCGTATGATTTTTTAATTATGTTTTAGAATTTACAAATGCTTTGTCATTTGTATTTATACTTGTACTGCATCACAAGGCAGTACGTAAGTGAAAAAATTCCACATGCGAGATTGTCTTGTATACATTTTTGCTTTCTTTGATAAACATTATTAAACATGCAAATTTTAATTAATGAGACGCAATGTCATTGTCATTGCCCTTTAACCTCTGGTCTAATTGGCCGCACGAACCGCACTGCCTTAATTATGCAAACTTTGTGTTTTACCACTGAACGGGTTAGGATAAAACGCGGATACGGACGGACGGATGACGGACGGACAGACGGATGGCGACGGACGGACCGGACGGATGACATATATAGATGTCATTATATAGTCTGCGCGCAGCCGCGCAGGGTAGTTAGTGGCTTACGTCTTCGCTGGTTGTTATACTTTAAAATAATTTTGTATATACCGAGAAATCAATATTCCGAGTATATAAATATATAAACTGGGATGTCACACTGATAGCTTGTTTACATTTCCTGGAGCATCATGAAATCTTATGTTTAACGACGGTGGTTTAACCCATTAGCTGGCAATGCGCCCTTCCCTTGTCCAACGCCAGAAGATTTTACTCGTCAGTGGTATAGGGTACTGCCAGTAAATGGGTTAACAAACCTATCTGCCAATGGCTCTTGTTAATTCATCAACACAGTAATGACCCCTACTTTAGTATTTACCCTGTCCAACGCCAGACGATTTTTAATACTCAGTCAGTGGTAGGGTATTGTCAATAAATGGGTTAACAAGGATAACAATAATAGGATGTTTCTGAAGGACTCGTTCAACACCCTGTAGTTTGTCTTTTGCTGTCAAAGGCAGCATTACTGCCCTGTGGGTAACCTAGTTATAATACAGTCGTTTGATGACCTTACACTTTCAAGACTTTAATTTGTAAAATACGCTACAAAAAGCTGTTCTGACACACTGAAAATAGAAATGTGTTATGATAACCAAAATCGTGTACATGAAAATGTTATTATTACATGAAAATGTTATATTTAAAGTTATTTTTTCAGGAGTCAAAGTGCGAAGTTTTTTTCGGCACGTTCAAACTTGTGTATAAATTTTGAATATCAAGCTGTTACCCAGGACGTTTTTGCTCTTAGTGGATGTAAAATACTTAGAACTGTCCTTTTGATAAAAAAGTACTTTTTCACTTGCTGATTTTGGCTCGAAAACAAACTTTTGACTAAATTTCCCGCTCCTCGAAACTCTCCCTAGTCCTTTATTGCTCGCTGAGCCTCGCGAGAAGCGCCATCTTGGCTTCGGGCAAGTATGGGCATGTTTACCTGCAGTTAGAGTTCCAGTGTTATTACAGTTCACTCAGGGTTTATTATAGCGTGCAGTTCTACACAAAATATGCAGTTCTAAACCCATTTGAGCAGTTCTTAAAACACAAATGTGCAGTCACCAAACTAACAAAACTAGCCTTAATTAAAACAGTCTTCTTTTTTACTCGTTACCCTTGTGGATGCTCCAGAAAATTCCAGAAATGCTGTCATTAATTGGGCATCAAAAACATAAAAAGTTTTCTGGGGGAGGACTCCAGACCCTCGTATTTTCCTCACAAATCACTTACGTGCTGGGGTAATGGAAAATAAGATAAAATTGGGGCGAGCGAAGCTCCCCAAAAGAGATTAGAATGGGAGAACCTAATATTCTTTGCTACCTCAAATGCAAATTTAAGGTTGTTATATATTGAATAACCATGACCCCCAGTTACATGTTTTCAGAAGTTAAGAGCCTCTAGATTCAAATGGTTTTGGGGAACACCCCCTAGCTCCCGCACCCAAAATCGAGTTTGTCTGGCCTTTCTCCAATTCTCCCACCCAACCACACCATTATATTCAGGTAAAAGGTCCTTCGATACCCCCCCTCCCCCCCAGTCAAACACCCGTTGACTTCGTAACATCCTTATATGTACAGTTCTAAATTTTTCTTAAAATAAACCCTGAGTTCACTGGTTACAACTGACGAATGTTACTGTGTAAATGTACAGAAACAAGCAAATGGAGTGTTGTGTGTCGCACGATGTATCAGTATCCCAAGAATTTAACTCAAGATTAACTCAAAAGGCCTCATATGGCGCGCCAAGGTTACGTTATCAAAAATATCACTAGGCATGTACCAATAAAAAATAAGTATACACGATATTTTTGTATGAATGTTGTGCATTTGAATGTACCAATAAGTGAATGAAATGCATTGCATGTAAGATGCAAACACAAACTAGATTGAACTACGTTAAAAAGTGCACAAAACTACAATTATATTAACAGTATATGGTTTTCTTGGTTGACATTCCATAAAAATTCTCAAAATTTTAAATTGCTAATTCAAATTTCCAATCTGTCACACCCCAATCCAAAATTAGGGCTTAACTTTGATTAGCAACTGTTGAGACACTTAAATGCAACGTCGCCCAGAAAATGTCATTCATCCATAGTCAATGTCTATGCAGCTAAAAACAGTTAGATTTATTTATTTACACTTTGTGTGCATACACAATGGTCGTTTAGATGTTTCCACAATATGGAAGCAATGACGCACTGGTCGGAAAACTAGGGCTGGGTAGAGCACCCTTTTTCAATACTGCAGTGAAACGTTTTCCCTGCAATAACAAATTCCAGTCGAATGTCTACAAGAAACTAAATATTACAAACGTTGTACCTCGTGACCTAACTTTCCAAACAACATGAAATCTTGGGTATAGACTAATTTGAAATTCTGAGGTCTTTAATTGTAAATAGCGATGTGAAAAATTGGGGACAAAGTCGCATCAGCGTGTAGAACATTTTGTTTTAGTATTTTTGCACAAGTGAACATAACAAATCCTACAAGGTGATTGGTCAAATTTGACGTATTAATTAACAATTATTCGCCGAAGGCGAGGTGATTATCGGTGAATAAAAACCGAGACGAAGTCGAGGTTTTTATTCACGATAATCACCGAGCCTGAGGTGAATAATTGTTTTAGTATAATTTCATAGGTGATTATTTGGGAAAAAATAAGAAAATACACATTTCTTTGTCATTTAATTGACAACTGAAGGCTTCGGCCGCCATTTTGAAAATCGCTTAGGTGATTATCGCGTAATAATCACCTCAACGGCAACCAATCAGCGTAGAGAATTTTCAATAATCACCTATGTAATTATACTAATCTGCTATATTCACCTACAGGTGAATATAACAAAATCGAAATTTTCAAAATGGCGGCTAGCCGTTTTGTTGAAGTTAGTGATAAAGAAATAAGCGAAATTAAAATGAATTCAGACCAGAAAAACACAAAAAAACTTGTGCAAAAATACTAAAACAATTCTTCGCCTCAGGCTTAGTGACTATCGGAGAATATTCACCTCGACTTCGTCTCGGCGAATATTCCCCGATGATCACCTCGCCTTCGGCGAATAATTGTTAATTAAAGTTTATCCCAAATGGGTCATATTTGACGTATCAGTAATATTCTACAGCATTATATGGAGAGCGTGTAATATATGACATACATTATATTATCGGTGATCAGTATGTTCTATTGTATATGCAGAGCGGCTGATAGCAGGCGAATAAAGAAGTCCATTGGGTGCATGATATCGACCACTGGTCTCCATGGCAGCATGCATTGCAGACACCACCATAGCTTGACCTTGACTCAACACATTAAGATAACCAGGTGCTTGTTTTCGTGCCTCATAATATGGTATATATGATCCAGGGTTCGACCTCAGGATGACGTCATCACGACTGGAGTGTGTTAGTTCAATATTAGGACTAACATCAGCATCCATATTTGATTTACGACGTTCATTATAGCCTCGTTTTGACGGTGCTGGCTTAGTTACAATATTATTACTAACCGAACAAATTACAGGTGATGTCACAGACTTTGCTGAATCGGGAGGGGTAATAAGGGTTTCAGGGCGGTAATCTTGTATTTTATCATTTGCTATCCAATGGTAACCGTCTTTATCCTCCTCAGAGTCAACAGATTCAGTTCGTTCGGTTCGGGCGTCTTCCATATGTTTTAAATTATGTTTCTTAAGTAGTTCTTCAGACCGTAATCGTTCCCGGCAGAGAGTACACTTAAAGTATACCACGTGCTTCCAATGTGATCTCATGTGCTTTTGCAGGTCTTCGTATTTTTCAAAATCTTCCTTACACACAAGACAAGAGTACAATGTCTCCGAGAAAATATCACATATATGATCGATCAGAGAGCTTTCATGGTAGAACTCGGACCTGCAGTTTAAACACGTGTACTTTCGCTTTACAACATGCTGAGACTGGGCCAAGTGACTTTCATTGTTCTTACGATGTGAACTTGGCTCATCACTTAGTCTTCCATCGGCTGTGTCACCTTCCATCGAGGTGGTCAAATTGTCTTGACTTCTTAGAGTCAAGTCAATTTGAATGTTTTGGGAACCAATTTGATTACTTTCGGAACTGCTTCGCATTCTTTCGGAAGGTATTCTGACTTCGTCAGAATTTCTTCGTGTTTCTTCGAGATTCGTTCGGGTTTGATCGGAACTCTTTCGGATTACTTCGTTTTGTAATCGAACGTCATTCGAATAGCTTCTACTTTCCTCGGCATTTCTATGGGTTTCTAAAGAATCTGAATTATTTTGGACATCTAATCGATTAACCATAGGTGAGTCTGCAAGATTGTTGACAAGACAAACTTTGCCAGCTTCCGTAGTAACATCAGGCCTATGTGAGACTTCGACATTCGCAACTGAAGTTGTCAAGTCGTGACGGCTGGACGTTGGATCATGTCGACTGGTTGTCTGTTCATGCCGGCCAGTTTTCTGTTCGTATCGGCTGGATGGCGATTGGCATTGGCTAGGTTTTTGTTCCCTTCTCAGACCATGTGATGTTCGATGCGTAGACCTCGACAGAGCAATCGCATGATAAGCGGCGAATGAAGTGGTAGAAAATGGATCCGCAACCGCATTAGCAATCGTGGAAGGGTGGGATTCATTCGATCCACTTTCGGAAGACATCGGTTTCACATCAGACGATTTCGTATTCGGTCGGTGGTGTTCCGTATTACGACGGGAAGATATCGGATTATTTTCGGAAAGTTCCGTACTCTGTCGGTAGGGTTCGGTAGTATCACAGGAAGATGTCGGATGATTTTCGGGAGGTTCCGTACTCCTTCGGTAAGGTTTCATATTACTTCTGGAAGAAATCGGGTCAGTTGCGGAAATACTTCGCGGACCACCGTGGTCCTCGGGTCGTAATTGAAGATAATAATTGTGTTGTCGCGCCCAATTTCCCACGACTATTTCACCATACATTGGGTTCGTGTGAACAGGGGGTTGATATTTACTTGGTATAAAATCATATCTCTGCCTAATTGGTCTGTTAGAAGCATGGGGCATTACTGTTACATTAGGCGGACTTTCCTTGTGTTGATTAAAGTTTTTCTTGATAGTGCGAGCTTCCTCAACGCTATTTTCCTCGCTCTGATCAAATGCAGAGATGCTTCCCAGAGAGGGCGCACTATGTATTTTCACATGTTCTACAAGTTGATTTAGTAGAGAAAACCTTTGATCACATGTTCTGCATCTGTGAGTCTTCTTAAGAAAATGTGTCCCCAAATGTTCGTCAAGTTTTCCGAGTGTGTCAAATTCCAGTTTACAGAACTCACATTTCAAGCAAGATAATGTCGACTGTTCGCCATGTAAGTTGTAGCAATGTTGGCGAAGATCATCGGCGTCCGTAAATCGCTCCGGACATATCTGACAACGGTAGCGGTATGCTGAAAGAGAAAGTATATATCAGTTTTTAATAGAAAGCAAATACTTTAGGGCCATTCAAGAACATGATCTAACCATGCTGGGTTCAGCATTGAGATCTGTACAACGTCAGATCACTTCAAGGTAGCCCACATCCAAGAACATGAACTACCTCTGCATGATTTAACCATGTACAACATCAGATCACTTGATGACAACCCATATTCAAGGACCATAATTTCTTTGCTCAATTTAGTTCAGGCGGTTCACCCGTCTCTCTGATAAATTGGGTCAATAGCTCCGTATATGATCCATCAGATACTTACGTCTACTTAAACAAACGTGGGACATGTGACCATCGGTTGTTGCAAAGAGGCTGCGACATTTTTCACATTTCAGCAATGTAACCTCGCCTTTGGTATGCATCATAGCATGTCTCTTGAGAGCATCGCATCTTTTGAAGTCCAGCGAGCATTTCTCACAGCGGTATCTCGTGGTCCCCGTATGTAAGTTCTCATGTTTGCGATGGTCACTGGATTGCTTGAAGGCCTTTGGACAGAACGAGCATTTGAAAGGACGTTCTCCTGTAAAATAAAGAGAGACAGATGATTATTAAACGGGATTTTAAACGGAATTTTCGAACGCAAACTTATGTAGATTATTAGACCCTAACCACCTTACGGTGCAGCATTCTTATCAACTGAGCTACCGAGTCCAGTTGTCGAGCTCTAACGTACACAAATTACTGTGTATATGTCATGGGGTGATTCCAGTAGAAGGTATGTGGGTTTATTGGGCATTTCGTTCGATAAAACTAACAGCAGACTTTTTTGTGGTATACGAGGTAGGTTTTTTTTGTATACTTGGCACTTACTCATTAGTTAGTGTGATGATGTCATACAGTCATAGACTACGGAATTTGGTGCCTCTACCACAATATATGAAAATTCGTATTTCATATGAAAATTTGATAAATTTAATAATTGTTTAGTTACGTAGCTTAGATTATTAAATTGCTTTCTAAAATTTACACTAAAACAATTTCCTTATAAAATTTACTGTATACAATTTTCTGCATAAAATTTACGCGCGAAATTTCCAGCTACAAAATTCTTTCAACAATTAATTGTATCGAGTGAGATAACCAAACTCCTCATATTTATTCTACCTACCAGTGTGTATTCTCTCGTGGTCTCTCAAATGACTGCGATGTCTGAATGCTCTTCCACAATAGTTGCATTTAAATCTGAACCTCTTACTTCCCTGGTGTAACACCATGTGTTGTCGTAGTAACGTCTGTCTTGCGAAAGTCTTATTGCAGATTGTACATTTAAAACATTTGCCATTCTTGCCACACTTGTGAGCGGTGAATTCTTCCATATTCTTGAACGATTGTTCACAAACTGAACATTTTACGTTTTCTTCATTATCTAATAATAAGGTAAATGTATTATTGGTTAGATCAGTGTGTCCCCCGACAGGACTAAACAAGCAAATGTGAAAAAAATGTGTGTTGTTTTTAACGTCGGTACAGAACACTTTCTTCGAGCACATGTCTTTTTCACTGTTCAACTAATTATCATAATAATCGCACAGAAGAGTATTTTCCACAACACCTTGGCCCGATCCAGGTTTCCATACGGCGTAAGGTTTTCCTGGTCTCCCGATGTTGTAATAATTTGTTAGTGGCAATGACTGACAAATAGTTGTTTTTGTATAATTATTTCGAGGTATTTGTAGTGATGAGTCGATAAATGTAGCGCCCACACAAATTTGTGCGTACTGTATTAATTTAGATAAAAATCATTAGTATAGAAATGTACAGTAATGTGACCGAATTTTGACTTCCTCCAATAGAGGTTTTCCAAGATAGCAACACAACCTCGTCTCAGGGCACTTTCCATGCGGTTTTTCTCAGTATAGTTTCCGAATAATCCATCTCGGAATTTCCACTGCGCATACAAAATCCAAATGACGCGTACTGCGTCGGGATAAATAGACCTTTATAAAAAGGTTGACGTCAGCAGGTTTGTGACGTAGTTTGCGGAGAAAATCCGGAAAGCTCAGAGTTGTTTACTTGTTTTGAGTTTTTTTTTTTAAGCCAAAAGAAGCCAGTATTATGGCAAGTTTGAAGCAAATTTTTCTATATATATATATAGGCCAAATGAGTTTTCATATTCGTCGTATAAATTTCATTTGTTTTTATATTAGATTGTACATTATTTTACTATCATGATTCATGAACATTTAGCAAATTGTTCGCTCGGTTCTCTTTTCTGTTTCTCAAATTCATCAGTGTATTAAAACAGCTCCGCTTTCGTTTCTGAAGATTTAAACTTTAAATCTCTACACTTCAGACGAAATTTTAAGTTATTTTTGGTAGCTTTTTCAATATCCTTGCCAATTTTTGACCCGGGTATGTCCTTTTCTGTCAACTATATCGATAAAAATAATAGAGTCTAAGTTCACTTATGACAATAAGACCTCTTTGCATGATCACTGAGCCTGTGTATTGCTGTCTACAGCTTGATTGGGGCCATTCTGATGATTAGACTGATGAATTTGAGAAACAAAAAAGAAAAATTATACTTTTTAGCAACGAAATATATGTAAACAAACCGAGCGAACAATTTGCTAAATGTTGACAGTAAAATAATGTACAATCTAACATATAAAAATCAAATAAAATTTAAACTAAGACGAATATGAAAACTTATTTGGCCTATATATAGAAAGATTCACTTCAAACTTGCCATAATACTGGCTTTTTTGGCTTTAAAAAAACTCAAAACAACTCTGAGCTTTCGGGATTTCCTCCGCAAACTACGTCACAAGCCTGCTGACGTCAACCTTTTTATAAAGGTCTATTAGTACCCTCGCCTTGGGCTTCGGAACGGCGCTCCGAGCCGTTGGCTCCGGGAATATATGGGTGTTCCCATTCCCATTTTTGTGTTTGTCGTCCCAGTAACCCGCAAATCCCATTTTCACAGAGGTCAAAAAACATGCGCTAATCGATGGAATTCCCCGATTTTACCCCTTCCATGGCCAGGATCACTATTTTGTAGTTAAATAGTGATCGATTAACTCTCAAATACGCGATTTTTATTGGATGACGTTTCCACTAACTATAATTAACTTTAATCACTTTTTTATAGAACCGTCCCCAGGACCCTCTATATAATATGCAGTTTGCCTGGAGTTTCCCCGCTTATGAAATTTTGTAACTGGAATATTGGCAGTGACATGCTCGAGAAAACAAAACCATATGTTCGAATGCCTGAATTGAGTCTATCGAGGGCGTTTGGCTGCTGTGGGACAGGTTGTACAACGGCCGCGGATAGCGTCGATTGCGCTATTCATCGGATAGCTATTTTTCAAAGCTTTCTAAATTTGTCCGTTTGTTGCCTTATTGGTTTAACTTAGATTAAACCTAATTATTTATCAATTAAAGACTCGTTTTATTAATTGCGTGTTCCACGTCCGTAGTTTTCTGACTTTTCAAGCATTTTTGCAATGGTTGAAATTGTCATTGTCCAGTGGATAGCTATGTATCCTTCCTACCAGCGGCGTGACTCCTTTGGGCGCCGCCCGGCTCAAGCCGGGGACTCCACTCCAGGTCATTAGGGCCCATAAGGAAGGATGGCAAAGTGGGGATGTTGAAATATTTCAGCAAATTTGACATGTTCTTGGTGTAGCCAGCCCCTGTCGGCAGTTTTAAAACTCTTCAATGTTTGCCGGAGGCCCATTAGCACAAAACTATACGCCTCTGTTTCGTACAACCAGCCTCGGAATCATTTGTTGTATTAACTCCAGAGCTTATCATCAGGCAGGCAAACGTGGGAGGGAAGTAGAATATTGTAATTAAAAGATAAGGGGGGATTATTTAGAAGGGGTGACTGAAAAGCGGTTACAGTGCAAGTGGAATATATATCGTTAATGTTGACAGAAATAAGAAAATTAATAAATTTATATCGTTAAATTTTACCCATTTAATTTCATTTCACCCTTCTCTTTTTCATCTTAGAGCGTGCAAAGATAGTTAAACTTGCTATTCAAGTATACTTAGCATAAACAAAAGTCAACTACTGAAATATTACAGGCCCAAAACAAAATTTGTCAAAAAACCGCGCAAAAGTGTTTGGTCTTTCTGAGTTGTGAGGCTTTCCACAAAGACTTGGGAAATATTATAATACAATTTAATATGTAGATTTAATATGTCCTTATTTTTCAAAATACAAAAAACTCCTCACTTTTTGCTGCAGATAGATGTAAAACAGTCGGAACTAATCGAAAAACTAGGTTTGAATCCCAGTCGTAGTATTGCCATGGAAAAAGGGTTTTTCTTGTAAATTTTTGTTCAAAACAAACTTTTGTCCGAATTTTTCTCACTCCTCGAAACTCTCCTTAGTTCTTTTTAAAAGCTGATTTTCCCGCGCTTCGGCTTTCCGAATCATAAGCTCCTATATTATAGGAGTTCTCATTCCAGTTTACTTTTAGTTCAATGGTGTGCATCAGTGTCACCGGGGTGACATCGTGATTCGCGTTAACCACGTACGGCGATCACACAAACAAGATGGCCAACAAAATATACTAAGGAGTGATGAATTATTAAGTTTTTAAACTTATAAAGACCTTTTTTGAAATTTTGAAGCAAATTTTGAAAAATGTTATCATCAATGTTCCAAACGACATGTGATTCGAAAGAAAAGCGATGATACTTGCATTAATTCAAAAATAAAACATTGTATATTCACGAAGGTATGTTTTAGGGAAGCCTCACATATTGATTTTGTCCACGAGAAACGTCATATGGACGTTTGGGGGTGAGGTTTGCAGCTGTGATGTTTCTCTGTAATTATAAAACATCATGGAAAAATTCAATAGTATTTTTTGAAAGCCTTAACATTTCACAGCCTTCGTTGTTATGGATGCAACTAGATGAAAAATATAAAAAGAATTTCGACGTTTCGAGCGAATAGCGACGTCCCTGATGCTTTGCGTTATGTCGCTCAATTAAAGCCCCGGTATGAGAGTTGATGAGAGTTAGCAGTCACGCATTGCTACGTGGGACATTTCAAGCTCTTGAGCACAGTTTTCAACCCTGGACTTTAGCCCCGGCTTCCGAATAAATTGACAATACGAGTACTCAATACTACGTTTAATTCCTCTACGACTCGCGCACGCCGCATACGTTTCCCTGGATTGCTAGTAGTTGGCACTGCATGGACCTGCAATTACCCAGCCAAGTGGCGTTAACTCTGTGTACGGTTCACCATATTCTGCGTGTCTCATTTCTGACGGTGCCATCAAGCTAGGATGCTGCATATCTCAAGTCCTAATAACACATTCACTATCATTTCTCCTACCAACCCGACTGGAACATACAACTGTTTCTATTGTTTCTTTATCTCTGTCGAATTGATCGACTGTACAGGCTCACATATGTTCTTAAAAATCTATGCATTAGCATCAGAATTTGTTACCAATGGCGCAAACGAAAGACGAGCGCGCGATTTGAAGGTGGTTCATACACCTCCAGCGGCATCAACAGTGAAATTTTGCCTTTAACCTTGAACCCCTAACTGCGTGGCAAACCCAATCCTAATCAGTGTTAATTCACTACCAGAATCAAAGAGAACGGTTCCCATGACTATTTCCTCTGCATCACTAATAAAGGTTACAACAACGGTTTTAATTAAGGGGACTTTACTAGGACCTAAGACTTTACTTATGCTTTCCCGCAGTGGACCCCCTTAGCCTCAAAAGTTTGGCCTACACTAGGTAACTTGGATGTGGCATGAAGCAGCTTATGATTACCCTTTTCACAAGAATGGAATCCACACTTAGGGGAAAAACTACATTGACGGCGCTGATGCCCTTGTTGCAAACACCCAAACACACCCCTTTTGATTTAACCAGCTCCCATCGTTGGTTAACATCTGCAGCTAAAAATACTGGGCAATTCCTTCTTATGCTTCTCAGCACTATCGCATAAAGCGCATTATCCAGCTTACGTTTTTGCTAGTAAGGTTCTCCTTTTTCAAAAATTTGAGTTAAAGTTTGAGTTTCTTTGGGTTGCGCGTTGTGTTGTATCGATCTCGCTTACGCAATGACTTTACTTTACTTTTAATTAGCCTTTCTCACGAAGGCCGAAATCCGCCATTTTTGGTGTACTGTCTGAACGATTCTAGACATTTTAAACAACGTGAAAAGCGAGTTTTAAAAGTTGTAACTGTAAATTTACTATTATACAAACAACTGTAATACTAAAAAGTCGCATTTTATGGTGCGGAGACTCTCAAACGTGGGAGAGGCAGTACCGCAAAATGGCGGGAAAATTAGCCGTGAGAAAGGTTAATTGGGCCCACTCGAGCTCTGCCAATCCCTTAACATTTTCATTTGCTTGCACGCGCTCTATACTTGTCCAATCCACTCATCTTTCTCACTGGAGGGTAGCTTGCGAACTAGCTGTGTACATATAGAGGCATGCTATGTAACTCATACTTATAATATGGCTTATCTAAGGCAAATACTGCTGCTTGTAGGACGGGTTATCCGCTATATTTCGACATATACTTATTATATGCTATTTGAACGCCAGGGTTGGGCAAAATCAACGAGTAAAAACGTTGCAAAAGCATACTTAGATATACAAATAACAGCGAATCATTATAGCTTTATTATGCGAATATCTAATTAATAATATAGTAAAGCATGGTTGCACGCATATATAATAAACTAAACACTGTTCCACGTGTGCACTTCATTTCATGTCGTTCCAGAACAGTGTTCAAAATGTTCTAGAACAGTAAATGGAGCAGTCAGATGCAATCACTTCTCTCACTTTATTGTTGATAGAGTTATTTAAATGTGCTTGTTTGATTGCATCAGAAAGAGACTATTGCTGTCCACAAGTGAACTGGTTATGCCCCAGAAATATGGCTATTTGTCTGGACTTCCATCGAACACTTGAATCTCTACCCCTGCACGTAAGACCACTAGAATGACCGTTCTGTGCCCTCTGTGGGATTTTCTCTAGCTGACTGAGACGAATGTTCCTCATTATTTATAGAGGGGCTCTGCTTAGCTCGATTTATCAAATAATCAGCTATACTTCGCCTAGAACTTCAGTCACGTCACGCTCTACTTCTACGAGCCATTCGCCATCGACACAGCCAATAATACATAATAAATTAACAAATATCAAGTATGCATTGTTCATATACAACAACAAGTTCAAAATATTTTTAGTAGCTTGAGTTCTGGGAACCAACAGAGTAAACAGACGCCATCACGCCTGGAGACTTTTGCATAGCGAAACTGAAAGCGCGGTGCTCGCATAGCAAAAGCTGGCTGAGTTCAAAATGAAGTCACATTTATATTTTTTGTTGCTTCTTGTTGGTTTTTCCACAGCATTTATTCCAACAAAACCATTGACGATTGTAAGTGGAGCTTGGTCTTCTCTTAATCACAAAATTATCACACAGGCAGGGTTATGGTGTAGCGTCATTGACTTCCTTAAAACAAATCCAAAGTACGCGAATCAAGATAGAACTGCTGAACTCTTGTCTGTCGACACAGCAAGAATACTTGAAGGCAAGGTATCTGGCAGGCTCTTTCATTTGGTAAGGTCTTCAAAATTCGGCGATGCTGTTAAAGAAATAGAGAACGCAAATGCAATGGTAGACAACAATGAAGAAGAGAATCCTGCCGCCCATTTCGACGCTGAGCAGTTTCGTAAAAGTTCCATACGTCTTCATGACTTAAAAAAACAAATTATTTCTCTGATTAAAAATGCTGGCAATAACGAAGTGGACTACACCAAGGCTAGGAAGGAGACTGGTAGATTACTCCATACTTTGCAAGACTTTTACAGTCATTCAAACTGGATCGAATCAGGAAATAGTGACCCCTTATCAATCTTGGGAAATGAAATTATAAACGAAGATTATGTAGCCGGAGCGGACGAGAAAACGTGCAATGACTGTACCCCAGCGGAAACATATAACCTTGGTCTCGATTCTGATGACTGTCAGAACAATTTATTGAATACAGGGAAACTAACAAGTGGTTACTACGGAGGACAAGATGTGACTAAACCTCGAGGTGTCGGCAAATGTAGTCATGGCGGTATCTTGGACAAGTCACGGGAATTAAAGTCTAAAGGAGGCATTAATAAGGACTCTTCTATTCGTTATTTATCACCACATTATAGGTAAGTTTAAGGTCCATGGCATATCTGTGCGATTTTCACTTTTGACAAGCGATTGAGTCCCCAATATGCTTGGCCACATACTTTGCAGATCAGTGATAACAACCCACATATATATTATTATTATTATTATTATTATTAAATATATATATATATATATATATATATATATATATATATATATATATATATATATAATTTTTTGGTTT